CACACACACACACACATATATATATATATATATATCCAGGCCTAACTGAGGCCCCACTCTGCAGCTCTATCTTCAAAGAGAACCAGAGAGCCAACAGGAAAAAAGTTTCATGCTCTACCATCACAGCAGATATTTTTTTTCCTGTGTATGAGTCCTACAAGCTACTTCTCAAATATATAAACCAAAAGCATAGACTATGTATTCTTTGCAAAATCCCATGAGTAGTTTAAAAAGAAACAGACAGTGATCAACTTATCACATACCAGAAATGAGGTAGCCCGAAGAAATAGAGATATTCACTTTCACAAACGATGAGTCACCCCTATAAATATTTAAAAACAAAATTCTTTTTTTAGCACATGCGTTATAGATGACAGCTACATTTATTCTACTGAAGAGTATAATTAAAATGCTTTCTATAGATTCCTGAATGGTGAATTGTCATTTGCACAAGGCACTGTGTTAGCTGTGATATACTTCTAACTGCACGAATGATAATTTCTTACATGAGCTAAAAGTTTTACATAAACAATTTTACCAAAAGATAACTTGTTATAAATGTGTTCTCATATGATTTGTTTGTGAAAGGATTCCAACAGAATTCCAGATGCTGATGTTTTTTGATTCCTTATTCTAAATCAGAGACTCAAATACTTCAAGAAATCTTCTAGCCTGCCCCTGATCTTGAGACCATATACTATTGGGAAATGGTTGGAACAAGACAGCTTAATCCTGCTGTTTCAACACCTATACATATCAAGGTCCTACAATTTGCCTTAATAATCATCTTTACTCCAAGAAACAAATACGAATTATCAGTCTTTTCATCAATTTATAATGTGAACTCTTGGTGAAATGAAGACAAAATTAAACTGAAATGCAAATGTAAAGGTTAGATGCCCTGTCTTGTTAACAAATGTTGATCTGCAAATATGGCCCAGGAAAATTGAACCTGGAATAAATTACAGCATCAAAGAAAATGTGAAAATATCAAAAATTACACAAGGTAAACATTTGATAGGGACAAAAATTGATCAATGAATCAAACCTTTGTCATAAAATTCATCTCCCAAAAGAACTGGTTCCGTTGACAACCATATTACTCTAATAAAATTATGAAAAAAACCTTAGAAACTGTTTAGGTAGATTACATAAAAAACCTCATCATGGAATTAAATTCACTAAGTTGATTCACTGAAAAATACCTTCCCGATGAAAATTTACCAATACTGGTACTATCCTGATGGGCATAATTCCATATTTATTAAAATGACATCGTTGCAGTCAAACAAATAGTCAAAAGTTATATCGTCCCACATTCCCCAGAGCCCCACATCTACTGCATCCCTATGCAGGGCTTGCTCAAAACATACCTCACCTCTCAAACCAAGCTGAATTAAGCCCTTTCCTATAATTCTAGGGAACAGTTTTCAGTATCTCTGCCATTCCAACAACATTTAATTTTTCCAAAAAGAATCACCTTACAAATTATCCTATTATGGCTGAACACAGTTATTATTAGTGCTTCAAATCTTCTCGTGTGGTACTAAAGTCCTCTCACATGGATATGAATGATTCTCATTGTTATACCTTTGATATCAAATGATGGGTTAAACACAAAACTGAGTCTTCAGTAGATATTATCCAAGTTGACTATCCTATCTCAATAGGAACTCATTTTTTGCTCAGAACAGTGGTAACAACAACTTGGTTTTACTCACTAAGTCAGTATAAATGTTTACATCGTTATCATCACATTCTCCGTCTTGGGTAACAATTGCAATGCTAGTGCAAAGTGGCCTTCATTATTTGTATTCAAATCTAAAATAAATCATTTTATTGCACCTCGCTAAAATAAGTCTGAGCACAAGCATTTTAATAAACCATGCACCATCAATACATTTTCCGTTTTAAAGTAAGAAATGTTCTTATTAATAATTAATATCAAAACATGAATCAAATGGACTATATTGGAAAGAAACAGCTTACCAAAGTGGATCAGCTTTTGCAGCCTCATCAAAAAAGAAAATGTAGAGGGCAAAAATCCCAGCCACCAAAGAATGGCATGTAGATACTACCCTGAAAAGAAACAAAATACATACAAAGATTTTAGATTCTTTGCAATAAACTTTAATTCTGGCAAAGACATTTAACATTTGAAGATGTGAAATCTGGAAGCATTTACGTATAGGAATGGAGTAGCTCTAAAAGCATAACAAAATTGTCACTTGGAAATCCAAGGGCTACAACTTTACTTTGGAATTAATAACGAGAAGGTTGCCCAGGTCTACAGTTTCCTGCTAGAAGACTGTGGAATCACTTATTCGTTAAAAGTTCCAAAGTGGAAGCATATCTGATGATGCAGCTGACAGAGTTTTGTGCAGACAGACGGCAACTGGTGAGCCCACTACCTGGCACCTGACTCCAAGCTCCATCACTAACAGCACTGCTGTGCCATTAGTTTCCCGTTCCAATCAGTTAGGAATAACTTCCAAACCTACTGGCCTTAACCAATTCCATATCCTTGAATCAGGGTTCGAATGGATCATGAAATGAAAACTTACTACCTTGGAGATTTCAGTGTCAAATGCACATTCACATGCATTGCTGCACTTGATTCCTGTAACCAATTCATGAGGAAGCTAGAGCAGCTATTATTAGTCTCTTTTTGTCATTATTATGAAACCACTTCTAAACAGAAAAATTGAGGACCATGAATTTATACAGAAAATCTATTTTTAAAAGACATGCTCAAGCGAAGCAAAATGTTCACGAAATCCAGGCTGAATTTTCTTGTATAGAAGGAGAAAGGTTTAGATGAAAAACATGTTTCTACAAAGAAGTCTTGCTAATAATTTAATGGTTCAACCAATACCCAAGCTCTCGGATTTGCTAAAGAACTGTACACAGGATGCAATATATTTATTCACATAATGAAAATGTTGACAAGTAATGAAGATTCTTTTCTCTTCGTTAGAATAAAGGACAAAGGAATGACAAAACTTTCTCTTTAGAAATTAATGGGGCACAATAAACTTCTGTCTAAAATATGACCCCAATTCTTTAACAGTGAAATATATCAACTAATAGGGGTCCCCGGATGGCTCCGTCGGTTAAGCATCCGACTTCCGCTCAGGTCATGATCTCTCATTTTGGGAGTCTGAGCCCCGCATCGGACTCTGGGCTGACAGCTCAGAGCCTGGAACCTGCTTCGGATTCTATCTCCCTCTCTCTGCCTCTCCTCCACTCAAGCTCTGTCTCTGTCTCTCTCTCAAAAATAAACATTAAAAAATATATATATAAATTTAAAATATATAACATAAACATAAAATACATAAAAATATATAACATAAACATAAAACATATAAACATAAAAATATATATTAACTAACATAAAGCTTGATATTAGAAAATTTTACTGTAACTTGAAAAATCAATATCCTCGATCTAATAAATGATGTGGTCCTAAATAGATATATCATGTTAAATCAAATCATATTTAAATGCTCAAAAATCCTCACTAATTTAAAGGCACTAACAAAGAATCCTTTGTAATACCAAAGGATCATTTTGAAGTGTGAATAATTAACCCCGTTTATCTGGTTTACAAGTCTGGAATTTTCACGCCAAACACACCTATATACTGAACATAGCAGTCTAAGGATTTAAGTTCCTTTATGTCAAATAAAACACTCCATTTAAATAATCATACAACCAGCATTCTACTGCCATTCAAAAATTCTACGGAAGGAGAAACCACAACTTCTTACTAACTTGCTCTAGTGTTTAGTAAACTTAGATCAGAATGTTTCCCCTTGGAAAAATGACAACTTTTTGTTCCTGATACTTAGTCCTCAAATTCCCTTTTGTGTTGAAATGTTACATGGTAAATGGGAAGGATTAAAAAGGCTTAGCTGATTGAAATGGCATATAATTCATGAGAGAAAAGTTAAAACTTAACTTGGGTCAAACAACCTCCCACTACAATGAGCAGAAAAAGAAAAAACCCTGTGCTTACATACTGCAGGCTGCATTAAAAATCTATTCATTCAGAAACTTCTGTTAATAAGCATTTCAGTGTATTCTTTTTTTTATTTTTTTTTTTTTTTTAAATTTTTTTTTCAACATTTTTATTTAT